GAGCAACTGAGCTATCTCTCCAGCCCCAGATTGTAGCCCGAAAAATACTTATTCCTCTGAGGGGTGTAAACCAGCCAGGAGCAGAGCCAGCTGCAGATGTGGCACAAATGTGGCAAGACTTATGTCGAGCCCAAATTCCCAAAGAAAAAATTGATAGAAAACCAAATTTGGGACTAAGGAGTTTCTGGAAGACTTTAAAACCAGAAGAATGACCCCGAGGAATGGCTTAATGGTTAAGGGCACAGTCTTCCCCTCCAAAGGACTCAGGTTTGATTCCTAATACCTGAACTTTGGGTCTGGAGAGATGGCTTGGTGGTTAAGAACACTGGTTGTTCTTGCAGAAGACCCGGGTTTGAATATCAGCACCCACATGGCAGCTAACAACTGTCCGTAACTCCAGTCCCAGGGGATCTGACGGCCTCTTCTGACCTCCACAGGTACTGCATGACATGGGTGCACTTACCTACATGCAAGCAATACAGACATACACAAAAAATAAAAATAATTTTTTTAAAAAGTTAAAAAAAAACAAAACACAGAAGAATGGTTTACAAAAGGCACTCAAAGGATAAAAACCATCCTGGGGTGGTTAGGGATCCCCAAAGATTGAATAGGTCCATTTCTTTCCTGATAAAGGTTATACTAGGGGTGGAGGCAGTTTTTCCCACCAAGGCCTCCCCCAGCAGCCAGGTATGGTCAATGGAGAGACAACAAATGTGGCTACAGTCAGGAGGCAGACCCAGGGCCTACCTGACTCGGGGAACCAACAGGTGCAGCGGGGACAAGAGAAATCCCCTGCCTTCTTAGCCGGCACAGGGTCAGGCAACTACTAACACCTGTAAGTGTTATCAAGGATAAAAGAATACAGAGACTCCATGTAAAAATCCCCACAATTTGGAATCTCTCCAAAGGGATAAAGATAGTAAAGAACTAAATGAATTAATGCCTCTTACCCATGCTATGGTACCTAACAAAGATCTATGGTGAAAAGTTAATACAAATGGATAAAACTTTTCCATGCTGTGTTAGACCTTGTCTATGATTGATTTAATATATGATGTTAACTTTGAGTGTTTTACAGATGTGAAACCCATTTAAAAGATACCTGAAGAAACAAAGGCCAGCTATAGCTGTAAGATTCTTGGGAGTTTTATGGTTGGGTAAGATAAAAACAGAGGCTCCCAAACTATACAACTGTTAAGAAAATCTACAGCACCAGGGGTGGGTTGCCCCCCTCAATGAGCTGTTAGTCAGAGAGAGATCCTAGGGGTCCTCCAATTCACCAAGGTTATTGCCACTAGTGTCAGTTGTACACTAGAAAGGGCGGTGAGGCCATGGTGCTGAAGACACTGCATGATGTGTGAACACGGGAGAAGACTGAGCCAAAAACTCCATGCCACTGGATGGATGCCATTCACAGTGCCAGAAGGCACTATGCAGATGGTTAGGGGGGAAAAAAGGATCCCCTATGATTCTACTCAACAATGGACACCACGTGCTGCACACTATGCCAAGCAATGCCTGCAAATGCAATAATGGCGCTAACATACATACAACTGACAAGTGTCTAATTGGATAAGGCTCACTCCTAGGGGTGGAACACACATCTAGTACTGTAGACCAGGCCAACCCCGTGTCAAGAAAGGCTACAGGCCCCAGTGGGGAAGCTGTTGCAAGTATACTGTTTAATATCTTCTAGGCATTTGTCTTTACATTCATATTTATTTAGATGTGTCTACTTCCTTCCATTTGTCTTTATAGTAGGGGAAGCACCACTGCAATTGATCAGCAGTGACATCTTGAAGATAAATGATGAGGAGCCCCAAGAGATCTCTATCTTGCCATGATGTGAGAGATCACCCTACATCTGTCACCCCCTCCAAGGCTCAGGGACCCTTGCAGAAGATTGGCGGAAAGATTGTAAGAGCCAGAGGAAGGGGTGGAGTGTAGCCCAGAAATACTTATTCCTCTGATGGATGTAACAGTCAAGGGCAGAGCCTACTGTGGAGAGTTAGCTGCAGAGAGGGAGCAACATGACCAGAGATTGGAATGGAGGAGGAGGTGCGAGGCCGCTGCGGAAAATGGCCAGGTGTTCCACAAGTGTGGAAGCAAGGTGGGGCATTTACAGACCTGGAGCGAGACTGCAGGCCCACTGGGGGCGGGCAAAAGCTAACAGAGACTGTGAGCGGGACGCAGAAGTGATCAGAATGGGTGCTGCACGGCGCACTGTGCAGGTGCGCTGTGAGGTTTCTTTATAAGTCACCCTACACTCCCTACCATAAAGGGCACCCCAAACTAAAACTGTCTTATGTTAGTCTGTTAGCCTGGGGCCTTGGGAGCCTCTCAAGAAGGGAAGAGGAAAAAAAAATTTAGGGTGACACAGATACATTTTTCTTTTCTTTATTTGGGGGGGACTTGAGACAGGGTCTCCCTGTAGTCCAAACTGGTCTGGAACTCTTTCCAGACATATACCTGCCTTTAACTCCTGAATGCTGGAATTCCATGCACATACATATGTTCATTTATTGTAGGATGCCACAAGTGCCACAGTGTGTGTGGGAGGGAGGTCAGAAGACCCCATCAGGCAGATGTTACACTTTTCATGCAACAAATCTTGATAATTTTAGAGCACCCAGGTGTGGTGTAATCCCAGCTTTCAGGACACTGAGACAGGGGACTTGAAGCTCAAGGTCAGCCTGGGCCACAGGGCAAGGTTCTAACTGAAAAGGGGTGGGGTAGAAAGAAAAAAAGGAGTAAGTTTTTATTCATTTAGGTCACACAAAATATTTTCTCTAAATATAATAGAATTAAAATGGGGCTCTGACCCAATCATTTAATTGATGGATTCAAAATGTGAAGAGACTATCGGTCAGCAGTAGAAGCAGAGGTGGGGCCTACTGGAGGAAATAGGTCACTGGAAGAAGTAAGCAACTGGAAGAAGTAGGTCACCAGAGGAAGTAGGTCACTGGAGGAAGCAGGTGACTGCAAGAAGGAGGGGTCACTGGAGGAAGTAGGTAACCACAGGAAGTAGGTCACTGGAGGGGTGTAATGGTTTCTTGTGAACTGCCTTCACAGGCTTCTGGGCTTGAACATGTGGTCCCAGCGTCTCCAGCTGGCCACCCCTGAGAATTCCCCAGTGATGACTCTGGCTGGAACCATAGGCTAAATCAATCCTTTCTTCCTCAAGTGGCTTTCTGTCAGGGTGTTTTATCTCAGCAACAGAAAGAAACCAGAACACCTTCCTACCACATAATCCGACATCAAATAATCTTATTGCTAAATTCTACCAAACATTTGGAGAAAAGGTAACATCAATTCCACATAATCTCTTCCTAAAAGCAGAAGAAATTCTTTCCAACTCATTTTTTGGTCTTTTCTTTTTGGTTGTTTTTTTGTTGGTGGTGGTGGGTTTGGGAGGGGGGCGTTTGTTTTGTTTGTTTTTTCCTTTTTTGAGACAGAGTTGCCCTGTAGCACCAGCTGGCCTGGAACTCACTATGTAGACCAGGCTGGCCTTGAACTCACAGAGATCCACCTGCCTCTGCCTCCCGAGTGCTGGGATTAAACGCATGCCCCACCATGCCCAGATCCAACTCATTTTTTGATGTTAGTATTCCTTTCAACCAGGCAAACAGAATACAGACTAATGGCCTCATGAGCATATTCGAAAAAAATCCTCAACAGGGTGATAGAAGACCCCCGATACCCTCCTTTGACTTCATGGGCACATGCAGGGCTGCACACATAGGTGCACATATCCCTTCACCCATATGCATAACACACACACACACACACACACACACACACACACAAACACTTAAGGGAAAATGAAATGTTTTTGTAAACTCAGGTAAAAATCCCCTAAATCTTCCAAATACAAAAACATTAAAATAGTGTTATTGCATCCTCTGTTCATGGGTAAATTTCTACTTTGTAATCTATATATTGTCTTAATCCTGTACAATGTCAATCACAATGAGAAGCAGAGCTGGCTTATGGGGTAAAGGTGCTTGCCACCAAGCCTGACAACCTGAGTTCAATCCCCAGGATCCGTATGGTGGAAGGAGAGAACTGACTCTGGCAAGATGACCTCACCATAACAGGAGTACATGTACACACTAAATAAATGTGATAAAAATAAATTAATAAAATGAGAATGGTCCACCCCTTTGAGGTCTTGTAAGGATGGGATTTACTACTTTCTACAAAACTCCTACAATATGTAGCATTACTGTTTATATGCCATCCTTATTATCTATGCCCAAGCATTTCCCCAGTCCTTCCTGAATTTACTCAACAAATACTAGGGCAGCTTGGTGGCAGGAAGAGAGAGAGAAGGATGCTAGGCTCCACCCAGGTTAAGCTCTGCTGCCTCCTTTCCCAAGTAAAGGATGGAAAGGCAAGATGCTGGGAGAAATCGGACTTCATCACAGCTCCCCAAGTCACACTGGCTGGACATCAACAGCTGGGCACGACCGTGTGGTGCCATTAGGGACTTCTGGTACAGGGATCAGACTGGATCCCTACAAGGGGGCCTCTGAGGACGTCCTCTGGTCACTGAAGCACTCTGAGAACTGGGTGCTTCACGGAAGATTAGAAAGCACTAACACCAAACGTGCCATCTCCTACCACGTGCCAGCTGTTTGGAGCCAAGTGTAAGTCAAGATGACCTGTGGGCAGGTACTAGGAAGAAAGCACTGCAGAGGTGGAACCAGCAGAGACTGAGATCGCGAACACTCCACGATGGGAAGTGGCAGCTCTGGCTGTGGATAGGGGTAGGGGTCGGGGTGCACGGGGCATCCTCACCCCTAGTGACTGACAGCCCCTAGCCAGGCCTGAGCCGGTGTGCGCTGCCACAGCACACTCAGGCAGGCTCATTCAAAGCAAACTCTCGCCCTGCCCTTAGCCTGGGGCGGATTCTCTTCCGAAATGGCTATCGCCCCGGGCAACGGCCAAGAAAGGCCAGGGAGGACGCAGGAAGAAACAGCAAGGGGAGGGCTCACCTTTCAGAGAGGAGCACAGGCAGCGGCCTCAAACACCTGGGGCGGAAGTGACTCGGTCCACACCGTAGTCGGGGACTACACTTCCCAGAATTCCCGACGGGAGCTGGGACGCCCTCAGCCCCCTGCCTTGCCTTGTAAATTGTACCCTTACTCCGGAATTCCAGAACTACATTTCCCAGAATTCCTAACAGCAGAAGGGCGGCCCTCAGACACCGGGGCGGAAGTAATACCATTATGCCTGGGATTCCTGAGCTACATTTCCCAGAATTCCCGAGGAGAACAGGTAGGCCCTCAGCCTCCTGTGGCGGAAGTTATCCTTGTGTCCCCGGGATTGCCAGACTATATTTCCCAGAGTTCACAGAGTTGAAGTACCGCCTAGTAACAGAAACTGGATTGAAATTCACAGCCTGAGGCTCTGAAACAGAATTTAGCTTTTCTGGAGCTAAAATAATCTCTCTGTTACGAAAATTTCCCTATTTTCTGTGGAAGATGGTGTGCTAAACGGTGTCTGTTCTAGCTTGTCTAGACTACAGTTCGGGCGGGGGGGTTTGGCGGGAGGCTGCTGCAGGGCCCCACTTCCCGCCTGTGGTCTGGTTTTCTTATTGCTCTTTTATACATGTGGCTTGAATGAATTCTCGACTGCTAGTCGGCTTCAGCTTCCCTCACATTACCCTTTTGAATCTTGGAAAAACTACAATGTGACCCTGTCTCAGACAACAGGGAAAAAAAAAAAAACAAAAAACTTTTTTCTCTTTATATTGTTAAAATGTTATTATTTTTTTTTATGAGTGTATTTCCTGCAAGTGTACCCGTGTTGTGCTGTGCTCACAGAGATCAGAAGAGGGCGTCGGGTCCCCTGGAACTGGAGTTACAGAAGGTCGTTAGCTGCCATGAGGGTGCTGGGAATTGAACCCAGGTCCTCTGCAAGAGTAGCCAGTGCTCTTAACCGCTGAGCCATCTTGCCAGCCCAGAAAAAAAAAAAAAAATTCGTATGTGATAAACACCCAAATTCAACCAAAGCAAACTCTTGTCTACCACCCACCTATTCCGAGAATATTAGCCTACACGAAAGAGCATGGAGGAGTTTCGAATACAGAAAGAAGCAGAAGAGAACCAGCTTGTGAAGAGGCAGTGAAAATGTCTTAAATGTAAGAGATGTGAAAAAATGCAGATACTGAGAGTAAACTGGACTGACCTAACCAGGCACTGAATGTAAGGAATATAGGATCACAAATATTTTTTTTTTTTTTGCATAGGATCAAACTCAGGCCCTGTTTAAAGGCACTTTAGTCACTGAGCCATCTCCCCAGTCCACCCTCCATTCAAAACAATACAAAATACTTTTTTTTAAAAACAAAAACTTGTTTTTATTAAATTTTGTTGTATTTCATACAGACTATCCCAAACAATCTGAGGCGTGGTTTTTTAAAAATATTTTTTATTATTTTTATTTTATGCATATGCGTGTAATACCTGCATGTAGGTGGGTACACCCATGTTGTGCAATACCTGCAGAGGTCAGAAGAGGGTGTCGGATCCCCTGGAACTGGAGTTACAGACAGTTGTTAGCTGCCATGTGACTGCTGAGAATCAAACCCAGGTCCTCTGCAAGAGCAGCCCTTGTTCTTAACTGCTGGGCCATCTCTCTACTCCCTCAGGTGTGATTTTTTTTTTTTTTTTTTTTTTTGAAGCAGGGGTCTCCCTGTAGTCCCAGCTTGCCTGGAACTCACTATGTAGACCAGGCTGGCCTTGAACTTACAAAGATCCGCCTGCATCTGCCTCCCAAGTGCTGGGGCTACAGGCGTGCACCACCACGCCCAGCTGATTTTTTTATGTCCATGTGTGCTACCTACATGTAAATTCATGCAATGCCTGTGGTGGCCAGAAGAGGGCATGGGATAGCCATCAGCAGCAGCCAGTGCTGTTAAACTGTAGAGCCATTTCTCCAGCCTCAAAATGTTTTTTTTCAAAATGAAAACTTAGCAAAAAGGAAGTGAAAGAACAGAGAAAGTTTACCCACTTTCCTCCTGGGCAGAAAATACGTTGTTCTCTGTGGTGCAGTCCATCCAGTGTGTTTAAGGTTTTATCCTATCTTATCATCTAGATCAGCTCTCCTTCTTTGTTACATGCCCTTGGCCTGATGAAGTAACTAGGTCATTGTCAAGATTTTTCAACATTCTGGATTTGTCCGGTGGCTTCCAGGAATTGTTTTGAAACTTCTTAATATTTAGTGTTATGCCCAGATCTTGCAACCCCCAATGATCACCAAGGAGTCTGGAGTGTATGCAACAGCAAAGAGCCTTTATTCGGACTTAAGCTCGGGCCCTCAAATTTCACCGACACAGCGACCTGTACTGAGAGCCCTGATCTAGGGTGGGGTAGGTTTTTATAGGGAAGTTTCACAGAAGCCCGTGTATGCCAAGCATCCTTTAACATGATTGGATGGTCCTATGCCCTGAGTACAGGGAGGATTCTTATTGGTAGGGGCTGTCTTTAGGGCATTGGAATGCGCTGACTGTTATCTGTGGGGCCAGAAGTTTCTGTTTTTACCTTATAAGGCTGCTATATGCCTGGGCTTGCTTGATCTATAGCTTTCCAGGATGGGAGTGGTAACTGAAGATTATAACATGCCTGGGCATGCCCGGGCTTGCCTGAAACAGCTAGTCAAAATGGAGTTAGTGCTGCCTTAAACCAAGCAAATTACAGAAGCAGAAAGAAGCGGTTAGACGAGTCAGGGTCCCAAATTAGTAAACTAGAAGTTAGATTTAAAGAGAATCAGGCAAATGGGAAACTGCAAATAGTAGAACAGGGTCCCCTACATTGTTCACCTGGGACCATTGCTTTCTGGGCAGTACTCAAGTCAGAGAAGTTCGACGTGAACTGAAGAGCTGGGAGAAGCAGCTCCTGAAAGACAGCCCAAGCCTTGTGACTTTTGTAGAGCTGAAAAGCTATGAGAGTTTAGGATGTGGTCGCCAAGGAAACTCCAGTTGCATCTTGAGAGCTGTGTCTCCTGAGGGCCAGAATTTAAGTCAGTGGTTAAATGTGTGAGGCACCAGATAGGTTGTTCCTTCTGTATCAAAAACTAAGGCGTGGGATATTTTCCCACAGGTATGCACTAAGGAAGGGTGTGCATCCTTAGAAGACTGACTTTGGGGCAGGAGAGATCGCTTGGAGTATGCATTCCGCCTCCTAAATCCTCACAAAGCTTTGAAATCTACAGTGCATAGCCCACTGGCTGCCATACCGTTTGGGCCATCCAACTCCAGTCTGTCTTTGGAGTGCTTGCTCTGCTAGTTTAACTCTGTGCTTAAACTGTGTCTCATTCTGTCCTTTAAAAACTAAGGGACCCCTATTGTTGCGGGTTCTCCTCAGGCCAGCTGTAAAGACCCTAACCTGGATCGGGTCCCCGGCCGATTGGGGGGACAAGAGGTGTGGAGTCACAACACAGACACCAGGAGTCGGGTAGAAGCAAGCACTAGGCAAGGTGCTGCAGGCTCGTTTAATGCAGGAAGGGACAGGCCTTATATTTCCCTTTTCTCCGCCCCCAAGTCCCTTTAGTCAGTGTATCATTTTCTGATTGGTCTGCACCACGCGGTCTGTCACCAGTCGCTGGGCTTGAGAGCAAGGTATGGAGGCGTGGGCCCCTTTTGGCGGGCTATTTGCGGACCAAGAAGAGAAATGAATACTTGTTGAATCTGGGTCTGCGCCATCTTTGGAGGCCTCCTGCTACACCCTATAACATGCTCAAAGAAAAAAAGGCACACAACCGTTAGTTTAATCACTTCAGAAATAGAGTCCAGGCTGGTTAGTTAACCCCTGCCCCCATCCCAATATAAGCAACCACTCACCTACCTTATGTCTCTGAGAATTGCCCTCTTCTGATTATTTCATACAAATGGAATTCTGTAATAAATTGTCTTTGGTGAATGGCTTATTTCCTTCATTGCTTTTTTGGGCTAATTAATATTCTGTATAGATTATTTACAAGTTGTTTACTTATTCCTTAGTTGATGATTTGTGTTGTTTTTATGATACTTCTAATATGACAAGTTTTTGTTCCAATGTACTTTTTAATTTTCAGGGGGTGCATGTCTAGGAATGGAACTGTACTGTTGCTGGGCTCAGTTTGCTAACAAGGATTTTACATCACTCATAATAGATCATGATCTCATTGAGAAGTGTGAACATCAAGGACATTAGCCTCATAAAATGAGTGTGAGGGGGTGGTGTTCACTCCTATCTTAGTGGACATGACTTATTATTTCTTTATAGTTTTGTGTGCATATGTTTTTGTTTGTTGCTGAGACAGAGCCTTGCTTTGTATCCCAGGCTGGTGTTGGATTTGCAGATTCTTCTGCCTCTGCCTCACAAGTGGTGGGATTACAGGCATACACTAATACACCTGCACTTTCCTGTTGACAAATTAGGTTGAACAGCTTTTCAAGTGCAATGTATTATTGGTCAATTATTGCAATGTATTATTGGTCAATAATACATCTTCCTTGGAGAAATGTCTACACTGATTCTTTGCCCATTTTAAATTAGATCATTTGCCTTTTTTTTTTTTTTTTTTTGAGATAGGGTCTCCCAGTAGCCACAGTTGACCTGAAACTTGAAGACTAGGCTGGCCTCGATCTCACAGAGATTTACCAGCCTCTACGGACTGGGTGATGGGATTAAAGACATGTGCCCACATGCCCAGCTTCATTAGCCTTTTTTATTATTGTGTTTTAAGAGTTATTTATATATAACTGGGAATTTATCAATATGACTTGCAAATATTTTATCCCATTCTGTGGGTGTTTTTTTTTCTCCCTCCTCTTCATTTTTTAAAAACAAGTGCTATTTTTAATATTCTATTTATTATTTTTATTATATGTGTATGAGAGTATTGTCTGTATGTATGTAAGTGCATGTGTGTTGTACAGTGCCTATGGAGGTCAGAAGAGAGCCTTGGATTTTCCTGGAACTGGAATTACAGATGGTTGTTAGCCACCATGTGGGTGCTGGGAATGGAACCTACATCCTCTGCAAGAGCAGATAGTGCTCCTAACCACTGAGCCATTTCTCCAACCCCACAAGTGCTATTTTTAAAAATATTTTATTTTTTTAATGTGT